TTTAATTTTTCCTGCTATATTAAAGACATTTTCTAAGTTTGTGTGGTTAAGAGATCTATCTTTAGAAACGTATAGAAAAGAAATCTAGACAAATATATGATCTTCAATCTGGCAGCAGGACGAAATGACACAGGGTTTGTACCTAGGTGACAGTGCTGTAAGCGAATGACATAATGGCAAGGGTGAATGACATATGACATATCTGAATGATATAATGGTACTGATAAGTGATGTAATGGCACAATAATTTCTATAATAGTGAAGCTGTCAGAGTGTTGGAACAGCTCTATGTGACATCTGCGACTTAGTCATTTTCTTTCCATAGGGCAAGCTAAAGTTAAAGTAAGCTGGAAGAAAAGCCCATTACGTGTTAGCTCAGGGCAGCCGAAAGCAGGTTATAAATTAACTGTTAATAGCACAGGTAATGGCAACGTAGGTGCATGCCGGCCACCAGGTGCTTCAAGGCTTTTATAAACAACCTGAGCTGTCTGCTTTCTGGACATTGCCTGCACTGTACTTGGAATTACTTATTTCCTATATGTTACTAATAACATTTTGTAGAACACTTGTAGCACTGGAGCTTTGACATTAGTTTCTTAGCTAAAGGATCTTACGATCTAATGATCACAGACCTCAAGCACCGCAGGAAGGTGAGAAGGCAGAATCTAGGGGTATGGTATCTAGGCAGAAACAGAAGAACTGGAAGGAACACAAGTAGAACATACAAACTAAGTGTAGGTAATGTTCCTGGTGTAAATGAACTCAGAACATCACCAGTTCAAGGCACAAATCCCAACCACTCGGCCTGTGAATTGCTGGGCATATAGCCAGATGTGTTTAAAACTGAATTTTGGGCAAACAGCTAAATACACAGATGAAACACATATAAGATCCCATTCACAGGGGAATTAAAATACATGCTTCCATGTCTGATTGGAGCTCATTTCTAAATGTACCTGGAAGCATGTAATGCTTTTGCTATGGCTAAATGCACACCTAGGTGTTAGCAGCATCTAGCAATTTGGCTGCATTTACACAAACCTGAATTTTCTATGTCCTGGGACCATTTAGCCTGGTTTGAAGTTGCAACATGCATGCAAATGCATGCTCTTTCGCATCGCACAGCCCTGTCTGGTGAGGTACAACACACTGAACCTCTCTTAAGTAACAATAACAGATCTTTCATCTCCCCTTGCCTGGACAGTGGAAGGAGAATCAGCAGACTCATTTCTCTTGTACTCTGCTCTCTCCTTCTAACTAGGGATGCACCGATACTGATTCTAGTATCGGTGGCAATGCAGAGTATTTGGGTGAGTACTCGTACTCGCCCAAATGCTCCGATGCCTAGCTTGATACTTCCTGTATCAGGAAGCCGGCTCCATGCTCCCTTGTCACTTGTGACAAGGGAGCATGGAGCCGGCTTCCGGGCCAATCAGAAATCCGGGCAGCGTGTAATGACTCGCTGCCCGGCTTCCTGATTGGTCGGGAAGCTGGCCAATTAGGAATGCTTCTCGTCACTATGTGACTGAGCTGCTCCATATTCCCAGCTCAATGACAGAAAACAGAAGAGCGCCAGACCAAAATTGATGTTGGAGTCAATGAAGAATAATTGTGTTGCTCAAACAGCCAACATGTTTCGGTGGCAGACACCCCCCTTCCTCAGGGTTTGGAAACAATAATAATTTAGATCTTATTGCCGCCATGGGTAGTTCTCCCAAAATTCATAGATTGCAGTCACTGCCTGCCAGTACCTCCTCGTAACGACTTGTGCATCTTTGAGCTGCCTAACTATAATCTAATGACCTGCCTACAAATCAAGTTGGGTCAATCATAAAGGATAGCAAGAGACTCCTCCCAGTGCCTCTGAAATATTGGCCAATTCCATCTTTCCAGCTGCGAGTCATGGACTCACATATTCCTATGGTGTGCTCCCCCTTCCCAACCTTGTGACATGCAGTGTGAGTTCCTAGCATTTGATTGCACCATTTAAGCATTGTCGGTACATCTGCACAGGAGAGGTAACAATGAAAGCAGGCTGCTGTTTTCATAAGGGATACATTTTTATGTCCCCTAATAAATTTCTGTGCATATCAGCAAAACCGGGCAAACTAAAGCATGCAGAAAGACACTCTTGTAAACCCTCGGTGAATGACTGTACCTTGGACTAAAACCTAACAAAATTTAGCAGTTTCTGGCTTTTATAAACAGACGGCAATGAAGAAGACTATAAATCATTTCTATTTCTTGACATCATTCTTTCCCTGCCCGAAGTCTGTAAATCACGTCATGGCTGTTGAACTCTTATTTGCACAATGTATTTCTGTTGAACTGTAGGCAGCACTTTGGTGATGCTTTCCTCTAAATGTGACTTATGCTCATCACCAGATGTGGAATATTTCCTCGTGCTAGACAGTAGTAGTCCCTCTGAGACTGTAATTATTATGTACCATGTGCACACTGTCAGCGTGCCAAAGAAGACTGTACTCAGAATTCTAAATTTGGGAGCCATTTTTGACTGACTGGAAGAGCACAACGTACTGTAGCATGGCTGGGAATGTCAGTTATCTACAGTCTATCTGAGAGGTTGTGCGGGAAATACGCTGGGGATGACATTCTACATACTTCTGGTTATGACAGCTTTGAAGTTCAATAATATGTTTAACATCCTCTGTGGGAAACTCATGAAAGGTTATGATTGCTGGCCCCCAAAAACTCTGCCCTGCTGGAATATGGTTATATTGTAAAGGAGAACTTTAACTGTAATAAACAGCAGGATATTGTTCTCAAATGAACAGCTGTTAAAACTACTAGATGCATTAAAATAATACTTAGACTTTTCCTTACTATGGGAAGGCTGCTAATATGCAAATTATTAAAAATGATCAATCCCTGTGCCCAACCTTTGTGCTGATTAGCAATACGCTTTTTCACCGCAGAGTAAGAAAAGCTATTGTAGCACCAGAATAGCTGATGCTAGTTTGTGCTTTAGACCTGTCCAGACTTGATATGCTAAGCAGGAGGTGTGGACACACATAGGGCATTGAAAATGTATCCATATGTTAAAAAAGTTAAGGTGTATCTAAACCTTGTGCGAATTGGCTCCAAACGGTAATGCATTAAGGACACTTCCACTCGCTTAAGTTTTTTTAGGGCTTCTTTGCCCACTTTTATTAAGTCAAAAGTCCAAAAATTCTACAAGTTTTTCTCTCACCGGGGTTTTCCCAATTTATAGTACACACAGTACTGACAACGAAAACACAAATTAGGCTTCTTGGCTTGTACCTTCAGCATCTGGTCGTTTGGACCCTCTGATCTCCTCTGAAGCCTAAAAGAAGAAAATTAATGTAACCATCACATCTCAGGCTGCAAGATATTATGTATTATTTCACCCCTAACCCTCCTACCTTGTTCCGGTAATGAGAAAGAGCTTTTATTACTCATTGTGACATCATCACTCGGTTTGTAAATTTCTTGCAGGGTAGCTGCTGGAAGTAGGGTGCCCTATGTCAGTTTCAATTGATGTAGGCGACTCTCCAGAACTACACCTCCAAAGAGCTCTTAACCTCACGCAGTGAGTGGGAAGACTCTTGGGAGTCAAGGCACAGCATTGTTTTGATAGAAAAGAAAGCAATGTCTGCATGTGGAGAAGGAAAGAGATGGGCAAGGATAGGTGGACTCCAGTAGTCCAGGAGGGAACTTAGGCAGGGCTGACAACAATGCTTATGATTCAGTACAGCAAAGGCAGATTGCATTGAAAGCTCATTGGATTTCTTACACATTCATCAGGTATTCTTTTTTTTGTACTTGAATAATTTGTAAAGGAATAAAACATGGGGTGTGCTTTGCAGAGCTGTTATCTGCATACATTTTTCTGTAATTACTGAGCAATTGACCTGGTCAGTGTCAGGATACCTGTCCTGCATATACTCATTCTCCATCAGTGACTCACCAAATGCTTAGGATGACAGCCCTGAAGCCCTAGAGATTTTCCATTTTTTGCTCTGAAACCTATTTTCTACCTTTTTTCAGATGACTGTCACTGTATCAGACTCTGGTCAGTCTCTGCTGCTTGCCTCATCTTCCGATTAGGGAGGACACATTGTTACATCACACTTGCAGATTCCGGGAAACCAGCTGTCAATCTAAAAGCTGATGGGCAAGGCAACACTGCAGTTCACAGACAAGGCTATCTGTGTCTGTACTGTCTCTCTGCATACACAGCACATTCCCTGGTGCTTGCATGTAAAGGTGGCTCCAGGGACACCCTGGAAGGCAAGGAGCCTTCATATAGGCATAAATGTACACATAAACACCTTCTACTTCTTCATCATTTTGCAGAAACTAGGGCATTGAGGGTAGAATGAAACAGTAATTAGACAAGTATGTAAATGATGCTTCTACATGTTACCTAAAAGCTCATGGGTTTACTAACACTTTATTTGAAAAATAAGTCAATGGCAGCTCACGTATCTCTCTCCTGATATGTTCCTTTAAGAGACATCATACACGGTATTTTTGAGAAAAACATTATATATTATGTGGCCATTTCAGGAATGACAACTAAAAGCCCCAATGTCTTGGTGCAAATGCCCAACAGTAGTCTTTCATGTCTCCAAAAGTAACTTTCAATGGTCCCCTTCCAACATTTAAGGACATGAAATGTAGATGGATCTTTTCAATAAGCTTACTAAGCTAACAAACAACATTTACCAATAAAAAAGAAACACAAAAGACCAATTCTGGTTTATTAAATACAGAATGTCACGTGGGCACAGTGATAGTAAATCATGAGGTTGTAGTTATCAGGTTTGTGACCTTATGGTCCAGTAGCAGTTGCACCTCTGTATCCTCTGTGCTTACCCTTCTATATTTATGATACCAATACCGTGTAGTTTCTTTAGCCAAGAAAATGAAGACTAGAAGTATCTTCCTCCGCTGTGTTATAAATAGCTTGATTGCTTTTAAATGCATTGGTGTACTCATTGATAGCTTTATTTCAGATATTGCAAAGAAGATAGTCATACTGGGAGGCGATATAATTGATGTGGTCCAAGGGATGCCTGTAACCTTTCGTGTACAGCTCCAGACAGAGGATGGTGAAACTGCGGAAAGTAAGACAATTCCACTTTACTCCATTATCATTGTTGCTATTATTATTTTTACTAGCAGTGCTAGTATGTACAGTACTGGACGAACATACCTTGTTTTTCCTAAAGCATATCTATAGTATAAATTTCAGTTTGCTGATTTTTGTTATTGATTTTTACTTTAACATTTGGTAATCTTCTTTATATACACACACATTTAAGTAGAAAATAGTTTAACAAAACATGGTACACTGGTATTTTATATTGCATACATTGACTTGCCTTTCTTTTTTTAATACCATTTTGTATCTGTTTCAATGTTTTTATATATTAGTTAAAATTGAAGCTAACTCGCAAAATAGTCCCCCAGAAGGGGTTAAACACAAAAAAACAGCTCTGACAGCAATCCTTACTTTCTCTCTGACGCTGAACCCTTCAGCAGTTCTTTTCTGACTATAGATGTCCTCAGTCTCCTGAGTTGAATGATGCTCTACCTTTTTAACCCTGAAGACTGAAACATGCTGTGAATGCACTGTCATGGACTCAGGGCTGGATTTACTCTCTCTGCTGCCCCAAGGCCGGGTTCCTCAATGCGCCCCACAACCCACCAACCCAGTCCCCCCCTTCCAATGGAGAATGGCAGAACTGCAGGCTGCATACAAGTGATCTTGGCGACATCACCGAGATCACTTGTACAAAACAAACGGAGACTTCCCCGCTGTACATTTAGCTCTGCTTGCCCAAAGCAGGGCTATATGTAGAAAACAACTACCCGCCCGGCGCCCGGAAATGCATGTCCTGGGCATCTGGCGATAGGACTTCCACATCCCTGCTGCCCCTCTACTTCCTGCTGCCCCAAGGCCGGGCCTTGGTTGGCGTTGTGGGAAATCCGGCCCTGCATGGACTCAGTCCTGAGGGGGCATCATTTCCGAGCTCTACACTCATATACAATGATAAAGAAAGTGATACTGACGTCATTAAGTCAGTGGCTACAGTATTTTTACAATACTGAAGATCACCCACTCCTGGAGATAATCCCCTCCCATCTATTGAACAGTTTTTTTTGTAGTGAATGGTTTTAGTTGCTCTCTATATCTCTATGAGATGATTTACCCTATTTGTCTTGGAGACCCTTGTCACTAGGACAGAAAGTAATGTAAAATCCCAAATTTTACATCTGTACAGAAACATGAGGTGAGGGGAAATCTAAAGTGGGACATGTTCTGTGACAGTGTAAATATCACCTTACTTTGGAGAAATAATTTGACAGAAGTTGAATTATTCCCTACTCTATTCACAAAATGTGATTTTAGAAACACTGTACCTACAGCTCAGCTATGACTTAAATAATTAAAATTGTATATACCACTATACATGGTGCATATTACCCTACCTTTTTATGTCTCTAGTTTGCTGAATTTTAACAATGAGACTAAACAGTAATACGCACATAACATGCGGGGGAGGCATAGAGCCATCACTCACATGGGCCTATGGCAGCATGGACCCTAAATACAATCCTAAACAGTTCTGAGAACAGCATGGGAACAGAAGTCAAGTACTGAGTAGCCATTTGAAGATCTAGCACAGCAGGCTGAAAGATAGGTTAACCATCTGGAACTGATCTGTCAATTTACTGCGCTGGAAAGGCACACCGGGAGACCTTGTCTCAATACAAAGTCTCAGTTCTACAGCTACAGCTGAAACTCCCTATCAGTAAAGCTGCAGAGCTAATGTATCTGTGTGCTGTACTAATTTAAATGGCAGAGCCATCAGCAGATTTCACCACGCCAGTGCCTGATTAGTACCGTGGCACATCTAAATGTTAAGGAAAAAAAAACCCTTTACCCTATTGCCCCCAGCCCCTCAGAACAGAACTAGCCCACCCTGCACCCCCAAAGCTCCATGCTTACCAAGGTTATGCCACCAAGACATGCAGCAGTATCTGTTTCCCTCCAACAGCTTCATATCGATGTTCATGCATGTGCACTAGAATTACATAAACTTTTTTGAGGCCATGAGATGAATCAGAAACATTTGAGAACTATACCTGGTCCAAGGGCCCTGCTACTCAAGTTTCTGTTTGTTAATAAAGTTGCTTAAAGTGCATGTAAAGTATATTCAATGTTTTAAAATATTTTTTTAGATATATAAGTATAAGATTAGCTTGATGTAAATGATCTTGTTGTGTGACTGTGTTTTAATACATTTTCATATATACATATGTACAACCATATGTGCTCATTACATACTCAGGTTCTGCCTCCTGCTTTACAGTGATACATAATGGTTGTGCTTTACTGCTCATTCTCAAAATGTAAGTCAAGGAGTTGGTCAATTAATTGAAAACAAAGCACTCCCTATGTGGCTGTTGAGAAGTTAGACACATATCAATTTGGCAGCTAACCTACTATATCTCTAGTGGCTAATCTATCGGTCTCTATATTTAACACAATAACAAAATTAGACTAAAGCAAGCATGTAAACTGTGACATCAAAAGTACTCTGCAGCAATAATTCAAAACTTGTTCTCACTGAAATCAGGTCTATTCACAAAAGGGTGAAGAGTTTGGAGAAGGCAGGAGAAGTGAATAATCTAGGACAACATAGCTGATTTGGAAAAATTCTCCAATTCAGCTCACTTTCCAGTTCAGCTATTTTATCCTAGATCGTTCACTTCTCCTGCCTTCTCCAAACTCTTCACCCTTAGTGAATAGACCTGTATATTTCCCTTTTGAAAAACAGAATCCTCTGCATACAGTTATTTTGGAGTTATATCGGTCAAGGTCTTCTTGGCATCTTTATTGCTGTGCATGCTTTCAAGAATTGACAACAAGTGGCAGGAATGGGTTACCAAGAAACATGATCAGGATGTCCAAGATGCTTTCTTTATTATGACTGTAAAACATTTTTCTCTCCACCTCTTCCCTTAGTACTTTTGTGTAAGCTTTCAGACAGTTCAATTGAGGAATATTTATATAGATACTGTATAATCCTACTTGGGCTTGCATTGAATAAACCAGCAATCATCCCCTAATACCTAGCATGTGCAATACAGAGTGCATACAATATAAGCAGTATAGATGCAATATTCATTCTACCGCTTAGCCCTTTTCTGGACAATAGGGATTCATTCGGTGCTTCTTTCATTCCATGCACAATAAATCAAATCAATCTGGCACACAGGTATCATTCCTTGAGCGTAAATGTATGCAAAGTGCGCAATACCTCAACAGTACCATTAATGTGTTTCAGCCCAAATCCATGGTGAAAAGTTACCTATGCGTACTGTATAGATTCACCTATAAAATCCACCTTTCATTCAAATGATATACTGCTGAGGTGGCTTCAGCAGAATATATACACTTTGACAATCTAATTATTGAATTAAAGGAGCTTGAGTGCCTTTAAATTTTTAGAATGTGTTTTTAATTTGTTCCAATATTTTTTTTTTGTTGTGTAGGGTTTTCATGCGATTATAGTATTGGGAGATGAAGTAAAGTAGCGATATAAAGTGACACTAAACTCCGGAGTTAAATCTTAAAAATGCATTCAGGTACCTTAATTATTAACAAAAATGTATCTTATTTGTGTATCACTCGGCTGTAGATCCTCAAGTCATCTCTGAATTTGTGCTGACACTGTCCTTCCTTCTGGAGGGTGGCTACTTTTGTTCTCCAAGTTACCTGTGTTTGTTTTAAAGTAGCCACCGCTCCAAGATCCCTCCTGTGATGTACTACAATCTCAATACAAATGAGTAAACTAAATGTGAGATTGTAGTTCATTATGGCAGAGAGCTTGGAGCGGTGGCTACTTTAAAACAAACACAGGTAACTTGGAGAACAAAAGTAGCCACCCTCCAGAAGGAAGGACAGTGTCAGCACAAATTCAGAGATGACTTGAGGATCTACAGCCGAGTGATACACAAATAAGATACATTTTTGTTAATAGTTGGGGTATTTCAATGCATTTTTAAGATTTAACTCTTGAATTTAGTGTCACTTTAATAAAGGTAAAAATTCTGCATTAAAGTATTTCTAAAGGCAGGGTGTTTGTTTTTTACCTTAATGCATTCTCTGCATTAAGGTAAAAACATGCCCAGTACCTTTCAGTGTAACCCCCCCACCCACCCACTTACCAGTCAGCGCCGCTTGTAACCGCCGCCGGTCCCCGAAGCGATCCTCCATCCCAATCTTCCTGGTTGCGGGGGAGGAGATTAAGTGCACAGGAGCTATAGGCTCCTTCTGTCATCAATCAGCCTGTTGGGCAGGGAGGAGCGGCATGGCCTGCTGCCGATCTGTGTGTGTTTATTGACGCACACAGACACTTGCAGGCAGGGCCGGGAACTAGCACACATGGGTGCCTCCACAGCAGCTGCTTAGCTGATGGTGGCCCCCTTGCAATGAAACAACAAAGGTGTTTTACAAGTATAGGCCTCCTATTTATAAAAATTAAAAATTAAGCTTTAATAGTACTGTAAGCTGCACCTGTTTTCATGCACATACTGTACATGAAGCCTAAACTGTATGAGAGCAACCTCGATGGAATGTAAAATGCACGTTTTAAAATAAAACCTCATCCTTTATGGCAGCCTCAATGAAATCTATTATCCATGTATCATTTGTGCTTCCAGCGCACTTTTGTTCCTTCCTAATGCACGCAAGGTAACAGAACCTTAAAATTCCACATTACTTTCATTTATGACATTTTTCTTTGAGTGGATAATAAAGCGCTGTAAAATGTAAAACCTACACTATAACTTTAGTGCCATAAATGCCGGCATGCTCGATTGTGTTTCAGATCTGCCAATTGATATCAACATTTAACATTCTTCACATTGTCTTCACATCCAATTAATAATCTTCACATCCACTTTATTAAATAGAAGAAATTAAAAAGAAGCAAAGTCTTAATTTTCTCAGCGTGCACTCAAGTTGTTTAATTTCCCACATATTGAATGGCTCATGTAGTATACATTTCATGTAATTGTAGATTACCATGGAGGATATGCCTGGCCTTCATATTAGGCCCTTGAGAGGTTTCAGATACAGTTGATAAATGTACTTTATCCACCTGCAACTTGTCCTCAGTGCAATGGAATTTGTGAAATCCACAAAGCGACATTAAGGTTTTCTGTGATCTTTCACTGTAGGCTAGAGATAAATGAAAAATGACAAATGGCAGGTCAGCTGCATTAAATGAGAACCCAACTGAGAACTGTTTTGTATATAAAAATGTATCCTCTGCTTCCCTTTGGGATCATTTAACATTTCTTAGTAAACCTAGATACCATCTTGGGGTTACCTAATTGTTGGGATGATTACATAAGCAATATAATAATGGGAGAAATGAATGCCAAATGTTTACCCTGTGATGCTGTTTGCAGTATTCTTTTATTTCTAGGGACCATTAACACCTGTTGGTGTGATTTGGTATCTTTATATCTCTATATTACATGTGCACTGTATTACACTGTGTTTAACAAACAGGCCTGCAGCACTGTGTGCATGTAATACGGAGATAGAGATGTCTAAGGTACTGGATGTAATTGGCATGAGGCACTGCATGTAGTAGAAATGGATGAGACAATACATGTAGTAGAGATGGATGAGGCACTACATGTAGTAGAGATGGATGAGGCACTACATGTAGTAGAGATGGATGAGGCACTACATGTAGTAGAGATGGATGAGGCAATACATGTAGTAGAGATGGATAAGGCGATACACGTAGTAGAGATAGATGAGGCACTACATGTAGTAGAGATGGATGAGGCAATATATGTAATAGAGATGGATGAGGCACTACATGTAGTAGAGATGGATGAGGCACTGCATGTAGTAGAGGTGGATAAATCATTACATGTAGTAGAGGTGGATGAGGCAATACATGTAGTAGAGATGGATGAGGCACTTGTGTGTAGTAGAGGTGGCTAAGCCACTGCATGTAGTAGAAATGAATGAGGCACTGCATGTAAAAGAAAAGAATAAGGAGGATGGGGCATTTCTGTGAAGGCATCAATAGGGGAGAGTGAGTGAGCGCTGGATTCAGATCTCATTGATTGTTACACCTGCAATATGGTGTCTCCCTGTTCCACTTATGTTGGCACTGATGATTCCGCGGAGGAGTGCAGGACATCTCTTAATAGATTGTTGAGATCCCACATTGTTTTGCAGGATGCCCTGAGATCAGTCTTAAGCAACAACTCTAGAAAAAAATTAAATCTGCGTACTGCAGGTACCTAGATTTTAGTGGCTTCCGGAGAGCCCATGAGCAACGGATTTTCATGCAAATCAGACTAATCAACAGGTGTCGCCAAAACAGAGCATGTAATGGAGCCAGTGGCTGTGCCTATAATGTAACCACCTTCTTCATACTGAATCTGATCACAAGTTATTCTACCTCTGTGGAGCCTCTTTTCAAGGCTGAGCTACGCGATTAATATAAGCGAACAAAGAGATATTGAAAATAAACATTGCATCACGTAAATGAGAATTTTGAAAGCAGCTGGTTCTATAGGACATGGTACAGGCCACAATTCACCAGCTTGTAATGCAGCAATGTACCTTGCTAAGACATGATATTTCTGAACCCCAGCCAACCCTTTTAGAGTTATCTGTTGAAGATGAACGCTGTCTTTTATAGACAAGATCTGTCCTTGGAATACTTGTGGATGGGAATCCTAGTCGCAGATGTCCTTGGGTAAGGCTACAGTGGAATAGAATTCCAGACGCTCACAAAGAATGATCAGATCCAGCTTAAAAACAGTAGCCACATGTGCAGGCTTAATATTTTTTCCTATACGCTGAATATCAATAAAGAGCTTCCCAGTTCAGTTAACTCTACACTTGCATTGTAAAGACATACAGCTGTAGAACTACAAAAGAAATGTCAATAGCGGTGCTATAATCCCATCATGTTTTGGAAAAGCCTATAAATTGCCTATTTCTGCACAATGGCTGTAATATATGAGTATGGTTTATTCAGATCCAGACTGGCAATCTGGCCATTGAGGCACTTACCACAAGTGTTGGTATGTTTGGGAGCAGCGGTGGACTAATGAGGTGGAGGGGGGAGTGGGCTACTTAGCCATATTCAGTATAGTTTATATAAAATATAAAAATTCACAATGGTTTATGCACATTAGACTATGTATCTATATGTCTGCCTGTCTACATATATTATCCATACCGCGCTCTCTGCCGCTGTCTCTTCTCCCTCTTTCTTTCTTTCTTTTTCTCGCTTGCTCTTCATGCATATATACATATTAGCAAATGTTTACCTGCTCCCTGAACAGGTACCGCAGAGTGGAGCCGGCGATATGTTCCTGCCCAGACTTCCATTTCAAGCAATTAGACAGTGAAGTACAATGATGATGTGCTACGTGCAGTAACCCGTAGGAACGTGAATTCATATTTTAGCAAGCTCCATTAGGCTGAAATCTGATTTTTATGCGATTGCTTAGCACCCTCTGCACATCCTTGTCTCCTTTTATAGTGTTTACACAATAAACCTGAAAGAGCTTTAAACCACATTTGATCTGCATTAGATACTGGAGCATTCTCTGACTGGTTTGTTGGTTGCTATGGTGATGTTCCTTCAGCAAAGCAAAAGTTGCAGGGTGGTACCACATCTGGGTGTGTGTGTGTGTGTGTGTGTGAGGGGGAGGCACATACTATATTATTTACATTAACCTGAAAATGTTTATATGCGTTAACATTACCAGTACCAATCAATCTATCAAAGATGGCACACAACTTGATTGTACAATTTGTAGCGTTAAGTAGAATTCGATAGAAAATGATAAAATGTGTGGGCTTACACAGGACTAAATGGATTCATTGGTTGAAATTGTAGAAAACACTGGTTGGATACAACACAACATTTTAATTAGCTGTTAACAGAATGTTACATTTTTTAAATCTAATATTCTTACTTTTCTTTGTACAATATTTTCTTGTATGTCATGCTCCATTCAGTCAACATGTATATATGCTTTAATGTAGGGCTTGCGTTACAAATTGACTGTACAATCTACCAAGTGTAGCTTGAATTGTACAAAAAATAAAATCTTCTGAAAAACCTTAGACTGAGCAATCAAATTGTAACATGTTAATCTGTAGAGTTTAGGTTTAGTTTTCTTGCTTTATAATTCTTAAAAGGGAAATAGAAACTGTGCAGTAACCTATATCGACAAAGCCGGAATAATCAACGGATTACTTGACTACACTCACTGAATATCAAAATGATCTAAGGGGGTTATTCACAAAACTGCCAAGAACAGCCGAGTGAATAACCCAGCCGAAGTGAAGTGAGCCAAACGGCATTCAGCTATTCACTTCTGGCTTGTACGGCTGATTTCAGGCATACATCGGCTGAAATCAGCAGTACATCGTCTGTCTTCGGCTGCACTTCGGTCAGACGAACATGCTCTGCATGTTCTGATGAGCCAAAGTGCAGAAAGACTTCGACTCAGCCGATCCAACATGTGGATCGGCTGAGCTGAAGCTCCTGACAGCTCACTCGCTGCCGTTCGTCCCTCTTCTTATAGGGGCCGAATGGCAGTGAGTGAATAGCCGAATGCCGCCGGGTGGCATTCCGTTCGGCTATTCTGCTTGGTAGCTCCGTAGTACCAAGCCGAATAGCAAATAAATGAAAAGACTTTAAAAAAAAAAAAAGATTTTTCAAATGTAAATAAATAGTTAAATAAACAAAGATTTTTTTTAAAAATAAAAAAATTAAAATAAATAATAACAATAATAAAAAACAATTGGGCTGAGCTAGCAGTGACAGCTAGCTCCACCCAACTGTTTCCTATTGGCCGCCACCTGCGAGAGTCTTCTAGCAGGTGCCAGCCAATGAAAAGCAACTGGGCGGAGCCGACCGGCTCTGCTCAGTTGTTATTGTTTCATGACAGTTCAGCATTCCCAGGTCATTTGGGGACGCTGATCTGTAATTACAACTGGACGGAGCCAGCCATGAGATCACGGCTGGCTCCGCCCAGCTGTCATTTGCGTGGTGAAAGGCCAGCCTTCGGCAGGCCGTTCGCCCTGCTTCAGCTGACACTTCGGCTCAAAAAAGCTTGAGTCTCTTTCTGTAATTGTAAGGCATGCGGCACTATGTGTAATAGGGAGGCAAGAGGCACTCAGTTTAATATAGAGGCACAGGGCACTGCATATAATATAGAGCTAAGATGCATTGCAATAAAGATGTACACAGTACTGCTTGTAAGAAAGGCATGAAACACTTCATGTAATAGAAATGTATGAGACAGGTATGACACACTGTGTACAATAGGCATGAGGCACTGTGTAGCAAAGAGGTACCATATGTGAGAGAGAGATATTTTTCACAGCTATCGTCAGCTGAGTCCTGTGATAATTAAAAAATTACAGTAATGTGGCTGAAAATGAAGATTCTTATTGTGTAAACCTTTGTGAGTTGAGCTGAATTTGTGGCATAAGACACTGCATGTAAGAAAGAGGAATAAGGCGTTGTGTGTAACAAATAGCTATGAGGCACAGTGTGTATTATTGGTATTAGGCACTGTAGGTAATGAAGAGGTATACGGAGTATGGGACACTTCAGTTGTAGAGGGAAGGGCAGCACTGTGAGCTGGTCAGGGCTCAATTGATTTACATAGCGCTGGCTATGTAATCCATTAATTGTGTTTCAACATGGTAGAGAACAAGGACGCCCTAATAAATGTGCTAGTGCTTTTTCATTTTCCAGTCACAGGCTGGAACAGGTCTGTATTCATTAATTGCAGTTTAGGGAGGTCCAAGATGTGCTTACACTGTGTGGCTGGGGTTCCTGGATCACAATACTTGCCTAAAGCATACCGTTACCTTCTTTCACTAAAAAGTGCATTCTGATATAAAATCATCTCACATTCATTAATTAGACAAACATATTTTCTTTTACTTACAATTATTGTTTTTCCACTCATTTGGTCCTCTTGGGCATTCATGATGTAATCTGTGCCCAAGCATTGCATCCTGGGAAGGTTACATCAGCAGAGCATTGCTGAGAAATCTCATCCGTAGTCTCAAGACTACTCAAGGAAAGGCATTTTCCTCTTAAATGATGTACTGTAAGGTAACCAGGTCTACTGCGCATGTGCGTGGTCCCGTTTTTCGTACGATAGGAAAATGGGCACTTGTGCGCATGCGTGCGCATCGGGAGGTACGCGCACAGATGCGCTAATCTGGCCCACAGGAAGTGATGCAATACCTCTCAATTGAGCACCTTATTTAAAGCAAGCACAGCTTGGCTTAGTTTCTGGATGGTCTTTCAGCCTGTCCCTGTGATTCTGTTTATTCTGCCTGATTTCTGCTCCTGTATCTTGACCTGGATTGTGCCGGACTGCTTCTGACTGCTGCCTGCCTTCTGACCTTAGAATTGTTACTGGACTTTGCCTCTGCCTCATCCCTTGTACTTCGCTGCCCGACTAGTGTGACCCCTGGCTTGTTTGACCTCGATCCTGCTTACTGCTCTGGTACCTTGCTGTCCG